ACCTTATGGGGATTCTCTTGTATGTTATTTGTTGTTTATCCCTTGCTGCTTTTAATATTTTTCTTTGTATTTAATTTTTGATAGTTTGATTAATATATGTCTTGGCATGTTTCTCCTTGGATTTATCCTATATGGGACTCTCTGTGCTTCTTGGACTTGATGGACTATTTCCTTTCCCATGTTGGGGAAGTTTCCAACTATAATCTCTTCAAATATTTTCTCAGTCCTTTTGTTTTCCTCCTCTTCTTCTTGGACCCCTATAATTCAAATATTGGTGTGTTTAATGTTGTCCCAGAGGTCTCTGAAACCGTCCTCAATTCTTTTCATTCTTTTTTCTTTATTCTGCTCTGTGGTCATTATTTCCACTGTTTTATCTTCCAGGTCACTTATCCATTCTTCTGCTTCAGTTATTCTGCTACTGAATCCTTCTAGAGAATTTTTAATTTCAGTTATTGTGCTGTTCATCCTTGTTTGTTTGCTCTTTAGTTCTTTCTTCTAGGTCCTTGTTAAATGTTTCTTGTATTTTCTCCATTCTATTTCCAAGATTTTGGATCATCTTTACTATCATTATTCTGAATCCTTTCTCACGTAGACTGCCTATTTCCTCTTCATTTGTTTGGTCTGGTGAGTTTTTGCCTTGCTCCTTCATCTGCTGTGTGTTTCTCTGTCTTCTCATTTTGCTTAACTTACTGTGTTTGGGGTCTCCTTTTCGCAGGCTGCAGGTACATAGTTCCCATTGTTTTTGGTGTCTGCGCCCAGTGGGTAAGGTTGGTTCAGTGGGTTGTGTAGGCTTCCTGGTGGAGGTGACTGGTGCCTGTCTTCTGGTGAATGAGGCTTGATCTTGTCTTTCTGCTGGGCAGGACCATGTCCAGTGGTGTGTTTGGGGTGTCTGTGACCTTATTATGATTTTAGGCAGCCTCTCTGCTAATGGGGGTGGAATTGTGTTCCTGTCTTGCTAGTTGTTTGGCATAGGGTGTCCAGCCCTGTAGCTTGCTGGTCGTTGAGTGGAGCTGGGTCTTAGTGTTGAGATGGAGATCTCTGGGAGAGCTTTCGCCATTTGATATTACGTGGAGCCAGGAGGTCTTTGGTGGACCAGGGTCCTGAACTCGGCTCTCCCACCTCAAGAGACACAGGCCTGACACCTGGCCAGAGCACAAAGACCCTGTCAGCCACATGGCTCAGAAGAAAAGGGAGAAAAAAGAAAGAAAGAAAAAATTAAATTATTAAAATTAAAAAATTATTGAAAATTTAAAAAATTAAAATAATGCAAAGAAAAAGAAGAGAGCAACCAAACCAAAATACAAATCCACCAATGATAACAAAGCACTAAAAACTATATTAAAATTTTAAAAAAACGACAGACAGAACCCTAGGACAAATGGTAAAAGCAAAGCTATACAGACAGAATCACACAAAGAAGCATATACATACACACAAAAAGAGAAAAAGGTAAAAAGTATATATATCTATATATAAAAAAAAGGAAGAGAGCAACCAAATCAATAAACAAATCTACCAATTATCATAAACTCTAAATACTAAACTAAGGTAAACGTAAGACCAGAAACAAATTAGATGCAAAAAGCAAACCCCAAGTCTATAGTTGCTCCCAAATTCCACTGCCTTGATTTTGCGATGATTTGTTGTCTATTCAGGTATTCCAGAGGTGCAGGATGCATCAAGTTGATTCTGCAAATTTAATCCACTGCTCCTGAGGCTGCTGGGAGAAATTTCCCTTTCTCTTCTTTGTTCGCATATCTCCTGGGGCTCAGCTTTGGATTTGGCCCCGCCTCTGCGTGTAGGTCGCCTGAGGGCGTCTGTTCTTTGCTCAGACAGGACGGGGTTAAAGGAGCCGCTGATTCGGGGGCTCTGGTTCACTCAGGCTGGGGGGAGGGAGGGGTATGGAATGCAGGGCCAGCCTGCTGCAGCAGAGGCCAGCATGACATTGCAACAGCCTGAGGCGCACCATGTGTTCTCCCGGGGAAGTTGTCCCTGGATCCTGGGACCCTGGCAGTGGTGGGCTGCACAGGCTCCCAGGAGGGGTGGTGTGGATAGTGACCTGTGCTTGCACACAGGCTTCTTGGTGGCTGCAGCAGCAGCCTTAGTGTCTCATGCCCATCTCTGGGGTCCATGCTGATAGCCGCATCTCGCATCCGTCTCTGGAGCTCGTTTAGGCAGTGCTCTGACTCCCCTCTCCTCACATACCCCAAAACAGTGGTCTCTTGACTCTTATGCAGGTCCAGACATTTTCCCGGACTCCCTCCCGGCTAGCTGTGGTGCACTAGCCCCCTTCAGGCTGTGTTCACGCAGCCAACCCCAGTCCTCTCCCTGGGCTCTGACTTCCGAAGCCCAAGCCTCAGCTCCCAGCCCCCACCTGTCCCGGTGGGTGAGCAGACAAGCCTCTCAGGCTGGTGAGTGCTGGTCAGCACCGATCCTCTGTACGGGAATCTCTCTGCTTTGCCCTCTGCACCCCTATTGCTGCACTCTTCTCCGTGGCTCTGAAGCTTCCCCACCACCACCCCCCATCTCCGGGGGGTGAAGGGGCTTGCTAGTGTGTGGAAACTTTTCCTCCTTCACAGCTCCCTCCCATACATGCAGGTCCTGTCCCTGTTCTTTTGTCTCTGTTTTTTCTTTTTTCTTTTGCCCTACCCAGGTACGTGGGGAGTTTCTTGCCTTTTGGGAGGTCTGAGGTCTTCTGCCAGCATTCAGTAGGTGTTCTGTAGGAGTTGTTCCACATGTAGAAGTATTTTTGATGTATTTGTGGGGGGGGGGGGGAAGGGTGATCTCCCCGTCTTACTCCTCCACCATCTTGAAGGTCTCTCTCCGATCCATTTATCATTATATCCCTCTCTGTCCCTGGTTATTTTTACTTTCTTTGAAATATTTTTATTTATTTATTTATTTTAAGTTTTTATTTTTTGGTGGCGCCATGCAGCACATGGGATCTTAGTTCCCTGACCAGGGATAGAACCCGTGCCCCCTGCAGTGGAAGCCTGGAGTCTTAACCACTGGACCACCAGGGAAGTCCAGAAATATTTTTATATTTATCTAATAGTAAGATAGCCACTCCTGCTTGCCTTTGATTAATGTTTGCATGCTATATCTTTTTCCATCCTTTTACTTTTAACTTGCCTATGTCATTTGGATTGATTTTCTGGTAGACAACATGGAGTTCATTTATGTTTTTTAATATACCCTGCCAATCTCTATCTTTTAATTGCTATATTTAAGCCATTTATATTCAGTATAATTATTGATATGTTCCAGCTTAAGTCTGCCATCTTATTTTTTGTTTTCAGTTTTTCATTTTTCTGTTTTCTTTTTCTTGTCTTCCTGTGGATTACTTGAACATTCTTTTAGAACTCCATTTTGGCTTATCTATAATGTTTTTGAGTATGTCTCTTTGTATAGCTTGAAATATTGCTCTAGGTATTGCATTTCACCTTCTTATCTCAGTTTTCTGGTGTTATCCTTTTACCAGTTCAGGTGAAGCATAGGAAGTGTACCTCCCTTTATGTCCCTTTGTCCTCGTCTATTTATAATATAATTGTCTTAAATATTTCCTCTACATATATTTAGAACCACATCAGGCAGTGTTAACAATTTTTACTTCAACCATCAAACATTTTAGAAAGTTCTTAAAAAGGCAAGCCTATTACATTAACCTGTATTTTTGCTGAGTTCCTTTTCTATTCATTATTCCAAGGTTCCTTCTTCTGTTGTTTCCTTTCTATCTAGAGAGCTTCCTTTAGCCATTCTTTTAGAGTACATTTGTTGGTGATAAATTCTCTTAGTCTTCTCTCATGTCTTTATTTTCCCTTCATTCCTAAAGGATATTTTTGTTGAGTATAGGATTCTGGATTGACAGCTCTTTTCTTTCAGCACTTGAAAAATGTTGTTCCACTCTTACCTGAACTTTATGGTTTCTGATGAGAAATCCATTGCCTTGCTAATGCCAAGTGGAGGTGAATGTCCAGAGTCCCACTTGGTCTCCACTGACACCACAGGGTGGGAGTCAAAGTTCTGGCTTCCCACTTGCCTTCTCTGAAGCCCTGGAATGTTAGAACATCTCCTTAGAGCAGTATAGGCTCCCCACATAGGCTTTGATGGGGTGGGTGTGGGTGGTCACAGTTTTTTTGTGGGTTGCTTTGCTTTGTTTTGTTTTTGGTGGCTGGAGTAGAATAGTTATTATGTAAAAGTTCTCTGTCTCGGAAAGGTACCCCTCTCATGGTCTTTTGGCTAGAGAGAACAAGATTTTACTGAGTGTTTTTTTGTTTGTTTGTTTTGTTGGTGTGCATCCATTGGTGTTTCTAGTTGCCAGCTTCTTCAGCTCCAAGTTTGGGATATATGAGGCAAAAAAAAAAAAAAAGGTAGTTTACCACTGTGTCATTCCCTGGGTCTCAAGGTCCTTAGCCTATCTGCCTTCTTCTCTTCATCATCCAGAGTCATCTTTTGCTTGATATATAATGTCCAGGGTTTTTAGTTGTACTTAGTGGGAAGAATAGAGGAAAGTGCATCAACTCCATGATCCCAGAAGCAGAAGTTCCTGCACAGTTGTTTTTAAAATAAGTTACAAACATCAAGATATTTCACCTCTAAAAACTTGAACACGTATCTTTTGAGAACAAAGACATCGTTCTACATAGCCATGATACCTTTATCACACCCAAGAAATTTAACATTGATACAGTATTATCTAATAGAGGATTCATATTCAGATTATGTTGTCTCCAAAATGTTCTCTATAGCTCTTTTCCTCTGATTCCAGGTTATGCAAACCTATTTCTTAAACCTATTTCCCTTTTAAATAGGGAGTATATTAAAGATACATTGAGTGTATAGCTGAGTGTATTAAAGATATTACACTGTCTTATCCGTAGTTGAAAAATCCCCTTTTCCACTCTCATATTTTACCTTGTGACCTGTTACAGCTTTATAGTAGAAGCATCTGTTTCTTTTCCTGTAACCCTAATCATCTTTCATTTTTATATTTTCAACAGTGTTATTTATTTGTCTACTACACCAGCTGGCGGAATGTCAAATCTTTTTTGACTTTTGGCTTAATCTGTCTATGCAACATGTATCTCTATGAACTGCGCAACCTCTGGCAGCTTTTCTTCCACGTGACTGTGGGAGCATTTGTTACACTCCAGATCTGGCTGAGGCAAGCCCAGGGCAAGGCTCCTGATTATGATGTCTGACACCGTCCTTCAGACTTGTTGCCTTGGCTTCAGGGGAAAAAGGAGGGAGCATATCTTAACTACCACTGTGATGAAGAAACTGTTCACCACCAATGAGAAGCTTTGCTGTCTTTCTCTCCAGCTGTCCTTTTCGTTTTAAGTCAGCATGGCATGCCAATGAGCATGCCATACCTGCTACGCAAACTCCTCTCAGCAGAATGCTGGCCATGAGATTATCAGTCAGAAGAAGATGAGGAGACCTCTCTGCAGGGCCATGGCAGTGGAAGAACAGTCAGATGCCATTGGAAGACTTGGCCAGCAGCCCTGAATCCTGGCTGGAGAGTTCAGTCAAAAATTATGTGTGGTACTTGCTCTGAGAACTAAGCAGGAGCTCTACAACCTGGGTTTGCCTTTGTGAGGCATTAGTGTAGACCAAATAAAAAGATGCTGCAGTGAATTGGAAAGTTTATGTGTAAAACAAATTACTTGCTAAATACTAGATTTTGCACATTTATGGTACCATGAGTTTGTGAAGTCCAGATTGGTGTGGAATGGGTTCTTTTTCCTTTTATATTTTTGCTTGAATCTTAACCCTGGAAATCACCCGATGTAGGAGAAGGCTCTGGTGAGCTCATCCCTGGAGCATCGCAAGTATTGAAAACACAGTGACACATGTTTCTTTCCTAGGCCATGTTTATACTTTCTTTTGAAATCACTTTTTAAAAATATTTGTTAGGCTATAGCCATTGTTTGCCAAACTTCTATCAGTTGAGTATTACATATGCTATTATTTACTTAATATTTATCTTTTAAATTTTAAAATATTTAAAAAAGAAACTAACCTCTATTCCAAGTAGAAAACTAGCATCAGTTTGCCATAAAAAATGATAACTACAAAATAAATAAAAATAAAACAAAGATGTTATTAAATTCTAGCTGGATACTAATTCCTGGCAAGGCTCTGAATCCAAAAAGCCTGTTCTTTCTTTGTTACAGTGAGGGAGACGTTACCCAGCACTAAAATGGAGCTCTGTCTGTGGAATTATCAGAAGTTTAAAAGAAAATTATAAAGGGAATGCCATTCTCACTGTGATTCAGCATTATTTAATTCTGTGTTGTGTATCACCTAAAATCATCTTGCATGCCACCAAGTGGCATGGGTCCTGCACTATGGAGACACTGAGCTGTTCTAAAAGAATCAGAAGGTGACTCTTCTCTCAGCACTTATTATTCCTCTTATTATTTTATGGCTTTGAGGAGTTAAGCACCTACTATCTTAGAGAACTTACTTCCTTTTTGATAACTTTATAAAGATTGTTTAAGCAGCTTTGAATTAATAATAGAGGAAGCATAGTTTGTTTCCATTAGCAAAAATCTACAGCTCTTCTGGTTTCGAAGTCATCTTCATGAGTGATTTTCTTGAGAAAAGATTCCAATTAAGGAATTCATAAGGTACTGAAATTTGATATCCAGAAAAACAGTGGACCCATTACATATAATTCATGTTCTGGGTATATTAATTTTCCACAAGAAATTGTCCAGAGAGGTAAAGTCACTGAACTGCACTGTTTCCAGAACCAGTATACATAGGTATGTCTACAATGAGAAATCTTGCTTAATTAGAACCTTTTTGCTACACTCTTCTTTCAGGAGAATGAGACAAAAGAAGACAGTAAGCTTAACGATTTCGGGGATTTATTTAACGCAAGAAACTCCAGTTCCCTCCAATTTTCTGCCTCTAACAAAACTGCACAGAAATTATGAATATTCTGAGAGATATCCCAAGGTACCACATGATCCTAAATCATCAAAATAAAATTGATTTATGTTTGGCATTTTGTAGTTACTGAGCCAGGAAAATAAAGTGGTTCAATTTAGAAAGTTTTTTTTCTAAACTAATGGTTAAAGCAAGAGGTGTTTTCTTGTAAATAGTTGATTAACCAGGAGATTGGAGTATTCTGGTTCATTGTGATTTTGCTGTATATTGATATTTTATAGCTCTTTTACCAGTTTGGTTCTCCTAATTACTGAATTATAATATTTGGTATTTGGATACATTGAGCAAGGACACTTGAAAACTCACCAGCTATCTTTAAAGGCTTAATTTGTTTTTTGTTTTTGTTTTGCTTTTTCACCAGCTATTTTGGATAAGGGGATGTTTACATTTTAATGTAAAAAATGAAAACAGGTATAAATAATGTTTTATGTATAGAAATGCTTTCTTTCATTATTTGGTGCCTGCATCTCTCAGTGTTCATACAACTTCCCTGCCTCTATCATGTTGTTGCCAAAGAAACTTAATTTGGAAAGATAAATTTTTGCCATGAATGTAAAGAAGTTTTTAAGCTCTTGAGAGAGAATCACTTAGGCTTCTAATGTGTATGATGGTAATACGTTGTGTTTATATTGCAATTTTACTTCTAAGAGCAAGTCCGCATTTACCTACCTAATCATAATGGGTTTTGTAGTGTCGGGGAATAGTATTTGCTCTCCTATTAGGAAGGAGGACACTAAGGTAATCAGATGGTAATGACTTACCTAGGGTCAAGAGCAAAACACACACAGTTTCTAATCTCTTAGCCCAGGGTTTTTCCACTAGAGTGGAAAGTAATGAAGATAACTAAGATTATATTCAGGGAATATGTCCTTGATAAAATTGAGGTACTGGGGACTTCTTAAAATAATGAGATTTAGCCAGCTACTGTCACATCTAGGTGTATATTTTCTTCCTTAAGGTAATTCTGAAATACTGCTTTTGATTGAGGTATGCTATGAGGGCAAAGATACTCCTTTTATATCCTAAAAGTAATTGCAATAGTTGCTTGCTTTTTTTGGTCTGTATTCGAAGTGTATTTATACCTGGGCTCTTTCCCCAAACAATTCGAAGCAGCATACCCAGAAAAGACATACCAAATAATGTTAACAAAAGGGGGGAAAAGCAAGACCAATGAAACTGGAAGGAAGGGTGAACAAATTGCTGTTAGTATAAAATTTGATTCTTGAACTTCTTGGAAGTCAAGGCTAGAAGAAGGAAAACAAGTTTTGCCTTGATCTATATTCCATAAGTCAAAGCGTGTTTCTCAGAGGAGACGTCTTCCTGATGAATTCAGGTAAAAATGTTTGCTCTTGGGGGTCCTGTGAAATGCTAAAATGAACAAAATCCTCAATTGTTTTACACACATTTCTGTATTACGATTGTGCCTTGGATCCTCAACTTTGTACCAGCTTTCAAAGGCTTTCATTTCAAGGTTTTTTTTGTGTGGTTAATAGAGGATTTTGTTCCCATGAGAATTCTGCTCCTAAGCTAAAGACAAGTATCTGTGTTAAAGCTTGAAAATCCATTCAAGACAAATGCCTTGAGACATGGAAAACCTTTACCCAATTTTATAATTTTATAACTTATGTAAAATGAATCTGCTGTCCCTGGGTTAGCACATTTATTTGGTATTAAATATGGTCTTTTTCATAGTGGAATGCAGTCTGGAGAAACACATAGCTCCATTTCTGTTGGGCTATGTCTGGAATCTCATTAGATTCCTGATTTGTCAAGGCTTCACAGCGACCAGCTTTGTCAGGTGAGTCTTTAACCCCCATGTCACAAAAGGGCTTCCTCCTGGGGTTAGCTACCTACCAAAAAGGCAGTCGCTTGGCCTTTATTCCAGAAGGTTTACTGAGTAACCCAAGGACCCACTCCAGGCTGTTGGATTTCCAAGAGACACAGCAAAGTGTGTGTGTGTGTGTGTGTGTGTGTGTCTTCACTTTTTGCTATTTTAACAGACTTTCTGTTCACTTTAAAAGTTAGAGCTATAATAGTGTATGTGGTAAAAGAACAAATAAATTATTTCAAAATCAGCCACCACTCAGGCCAAATTGAACACTTAGCTTTACCACACATTATGGGTCACTCTTCAGGGCTGCATTCTTTGTCTGTGGTCAATTTGTATTTTTCTGCTTTATTATCTCTAAGGAAATGGAGTCTTTCCACCTAAAAATACTGTGGTAAAATCAAACCTGATTTTTGGTTTAAATTGGCTTTAGGAATAGCCAAGCCTAAAGTTAATGGAAGAAACCCCTCCAACTGCAAGGGTTATGAATGAATTGTGTATAGAAGCCATGTCAGCTGAGGATTTTACTCTTCTAGCCTTACTGATTAGGAGTAGAGGTGTCTGCTCATCTTCATCAATGTTCTAAGACTGCTGTTGAATGCTGGCAGCCTTCTGTTTGAGCATTGAGCTTTTCAAAGAGAAGTGGTATCTGTGGCTGCCACTCTTGTAACATCTCTTCCTTGGGTGGCCAACCTTTCTAGGTTTCTTTATTCAGCAGATGAAATCACAGTGTTGCTGCACTGCATGGTTGGAAGCCACATGGCTTGTATCCTCCTTGCTTGTTTACAGTGAGTGGCATTGACACGTGTGCACACGTTTTCTTCTGTATTGGTGGTGCTGGTGTGTAATGAATAGTCTAAGCACAGTGGAGTCCGTAGGAAACTCAAGGAGAGAACAGGCTTCATTCTCAGAGTTCTTGAAATCAGTACCGTAGCCTTATGAATTCTTCCTGATGTTTTCTTGGCAACAAACGGTATTTTCAGCCCAACCCCACCCACGGTTCACATTTGCCCTTTTCTCCTACATCCCACAGTACAGCAGTGCAGCATCGCCTGCAGAAGCACATTCAGGCTCCATCTAACAGTAGGAAAATAGGGCTCGTATGTTTTGTTGCCTGTCGGGTCCCAGCAGCCCCTTCCCAGCTCTGCCTAGGTCACCTGCCTCCTCTGGGCCAATACTTTTCTTTAAGGCTGGGTTGTCAAGGGGACCTTGCCTGAAGGTGAACAAAGAATATTTTGCCCTTGCACTTTGAATTCCTCCATACCTAGGACTAATGTTGTAAGAAAGCTTGTTAGCACCTTTTGCGCTAGTGAGGACCTCCTACATAGTAGTTAATCCTTATGGCAGCCTACGGTGGCGGGGATGGGCACTATCTCATGTTCACTTGAGGAAACAGGCTCAGGTTCAAACCTGGGATTCAGGATTAAACGACTCGAAAATTGGTGCTCATTTTTCCATGCCAACAGAGCCTTTCAGAGAGAAAGTTCTTCGTTTGCTGACAACACTGGGCTCTTACTGTTACAGCAGCAGAGAGAACAGATGAAGCCATCAGGGAGGGGAAGATAGCACTGTGTATGCTAAGCATCCTCACAGGAAGCTTTATGAAGGCTTCTGTTTTATAGATGAAGCACCTGAGCCCTACAGAAGTTAAGTGACTTGAACACAGTCACAATCTAACCTATGTGGTGGCACCAGGATTTCAATCCAGATCAGTCTTACTCAGAACTCACACTCTTTAACCACCCTGTAAATATTAAGCTAGGAGATATGTTGAAATATATAAGGAATATATATATACACAAGTAACACACATTGCTCTTAAAAGAGATCAGGTCACTGCTAATTCCTGCAGTATAGATGTCCTAGACTGAATAAAATTGTTTCCTAAAACTCCTACATCTATAACAGTCACATAGGACAGATGGCTGCCATAGGTATAGTGAACCTTAAGTGTGCCTTAGATTTTAGGGCAAGGAGGTATAAAGTTTATTCTTTCTCATAAAACTAACACGAGTTAGTGATTCTTTTTTTTTTTTTTTGTGTTTTTGTGGTACGCGGGCCTCTCACCGTTGTGGCCTCTCCCGTTGCGGAGCACAGGCTCCGGACGCGCAGGCTCAGCGGCCATGGCTCACAGGCCCAGCCGCTCCGCGGCATGTGGGATCTTCCCAGACCAGGGCACGAACCCATGTCCCCTGCATCGGCAGGTGGACTCGCAATCACTGCGCCACCAGGGAAGCCCAAGTTAGTGATTCTTGACATAGAATGTTAAAGCTTCATTGGTGATTCATGTGTTAAAAATATTTACTTTTTCTAGCTGAAGGCCAGCATAGATTGGTTCTTTAATATGAAGTAATTTCATGGGAATTCTGCTTTAAGTAGTCCCTACATCTGAAAACATTAAACAAAAGATAGAAGGTAACTATTTGCTTTATCGAATAGTGATAATGAGTTTAGAGCCAGACCCCTGGCTCTCCCTGCCACTGGCATTGTGACCTCGACAAGGCATGTAACCTCTCTGCCTCAGTTTCCTCATCTTTGAAGTAGAGATAATAGTGCTTTGGGCAAAGTGTTGTGAGGATTGAATGAGTCAATAAATGTACATCACCTAGAGCCTGGCGCAGCAAGTGCTAGGACAGCATTTGCTACCTCGCTGTGGTCTCTCTGGTTGGTGTTACTATTACTTTCAAGATAATAGGAGTCTTTTAAATCACAAATGCCCCCAAATATATCATTGCACATAGCTTTTCGGAAATTGTGAATTAAGAGAGGATCCTATTGAAATATTTAGTAGGCGGGTGCCCTGCCCTGGCAAGCTCTTGTGTGAAGATTTCTGGGCAGTGCACTGGGGATGCATTCAAAGACAGAGAAGGGAATTGAGGGATTGACATTTGCCAAATGCCTGCTGTACATCAGGTGTTTTACATACAGGCTTTATGTGAGCTTAACAAATTCCATTTGAGGTAAGTAAGCAGGATTAAGTTTTCACTTAATCCAGTGTCACTCAGCCTGGAAGAAGTAGACTGCTCTCCAGGACCCTGAAGTCTCCTAGGTACTGGAGCACTGCTGTCAAGTGGGGAAGGTACCTCTGGGAACCTCACCTTATACAGTGTGGCACCAGCACTATGGCCCCATCATCCTTTGCTTTGAACATCCAATTTCGGTCTATCGGGTATTCCTGGATGGCCGCCACCTAATGTCCACTACTCTATAGGGCCCCCATGGGTGTGTATGTGCATGTGGTCTGTGTATGGATGAGAGAAAGGGTGGGGAAGGCAGCCAGCAGCCCTCAAGCGCAGTATGGAAATATATAGACGCTCAGGACGTGAGAGCTCAAGGCACTCTTAAAAAGCGCAAATGCAGTGTGGCTCTTGAGAGTAATCGGAAGAGAATGCCCCCCTCGCCCCTCCAAAAAAAAAAAAAATCCCATGTGAGCCAGGGAAATGCCACTTTAGCTAACAAAGTCAAAGCAGAGAAGCAAATTTTGCAAAATTGGAAAATAGTCTAAGTTAGAATAACCAGAGATGCTGACAAACTAGAGATTACAGGCGGGTCTAAATTGGAAATTGGCTGGGAGGGAAAAAGTGAGGAGGCTCCCAATAGATTC